ACCACTATATTGCAGTTTTAGCTTTTAGTGGGTTATTACACAATAATCAACTTTAGACTTAATCTTACCAATGAGATTTCTATAACTTAGTCAAACTAATCATAAATTATCACTTGGTTTAATTTTTTTTCCTAAAATCTAAACCTTTGTAAGATACAATTTAAAGAAGTGATTAGTCAAATCTTCTAAAACTACTCTAATTATTCAACCAAGTATAGATCTCATAGCTAAGCATAGTCTAAACTAGTTGGATCTAGTCATAACTAGATAAACTTAATTATAACTAATACTCCTATGATCAACTTAATTGCAAATTCTAACACTACTTCATATATACAACAACCAATTTTAGAGCGCAAGCGTGTAGACGCAACGCTTCGCCCGATGCGATTCATCCCTTCTTCCTTCTTCCACGGTCAAGCGTGACAGATCACTCAAGCGCAAAAGTTACGCGTGACTAACAAGTAGGAAGACTCGTGTCGGATGACCACGTGGTAGGTTGGACGATCAGGCCAGGCGTGGCGAACAATGGAGGTAGGATTGGACAAGCTCGTTGAGAGTTAGCAGGTGCGGCGAGTTGGTACGGCGTGCAAACTTCGGACTGACTCTCATTGGGGTTTACTTCAAATGGCTTTGTGGTAGCTCATCATGGTTGTAGAAGACTAGAATTTTCACTCATACTCTTGTCCAAACACCCTCTCACACAAACTCTCCATAAATGGTAAATGGTAAATAAATCAAGCCCGTGGGACCCAAAGGGTCAAAAGGCTAAAAAACATTATACAAACAATCCAACTCCAAACTAGGAGAGAACCAAAAGAACCCCCTAGCTAGTGCCCAAAGCACTAGAACGGTAACTAATAATATCTCTAATGTAACAACCTAAATCATAAGGCTCAAGCTGAAGCAAAGAATAGAAATTCTCAACATCAACTTTATGAGCCACTCTAATCTCTATATATCTAGTACAAGTAAGAAACACATGCTCTTCGACCTCAACATTTCTCCCATCACATAGCCTACAAATCCATTCACTCCTATCAATATTCAACCAACGTCCTTCCTCAATTCCAAGCATATGAGATCATGTTTTATGCCTGGCAATAATATGATGTAAAGATGTAGCGATCTCTGCAACAAGGTACCCTTGCTCACAATAAATAAGCATAGTATTCACATGAAGTTTATAAAACTGCATTTTAGTGCCTCCTCTCCTCCAAATGATGGTGAGAATCTACTCCTTAATACGCTCGCGAAGGGCCATAGGTTGCAGATCCAATCCAATTTCGTCACATTCCACCTCAAAGACCAAGTCATCACATCTGCAAACCATTCCTTGGAACGTGTGGCACGCAAAGCATGAAGAGGAAGTCGAGAAGCATCAAGAGATCTCACCCTTCTAATATAAGTGATGGTCAAGTAGAGAGCTTCAGCCTCAAGAGGTAAACAACCTGTTTCCGCAAGAAGAATATCATAAGGAGTACATACATCACTCAATTCACACAAACTATTCTCACATCACTCTATTCACATAAACTCAAACACACTTCAATACTCAAAGATATTGAAAAACCTCACTCCTTCATTCGTGAAACAAGTCTTCACACATCAACTCTCCAAACTTGCTTGAGAGACGATACTCTACCTCTCTATTTATACTACTTGAAAAATTACCATAGTGACATGTGGTAATTTCTCTTAACTCACTTTTCCCTAGGTAGGTTTTACCCACTATAAGTGGTAACATGCCATTAGCATACTAAGCCCTCTAGAAGTTTCCGGAACCCGAGGTTGAGGTGGCGATATGCCATTGAAAGCTTTAAAACTTCTAGAAGCTTCCTAACCACTAAGTCAACATTAGATTTAGTCTAGCCAATCATCTTTCATACATTTAGTCAACCCAATCAAATCCAAGCTTATTATCAAAAATCTAATACCTTAGAATCTGGATCTTTGTAAAAGACAAATTAGAAGTGGTCATTCCAATCTTCTAGAACTCCGCTAATTATTCCGCCAACGTTAGACATTATAGCTAAACTTAGTCATGACTAGATAAATTTAGTTATAACTCCCTAGTTTAGTCATAACTAGCTAGACTTAGCTATGTCTTGGCTAATCATAATTAATCACTTGGCTACTTCTACAATTTAGTTCACATGTGCAACATCCGGTCTTACAAGCCAGTTGCGTGTAGCGCGCGTAGGACTGGGTAAAGCGAGCATGTGAAAGATAGATCCGTGCAAGTTGAACACATGCAATCACGTGAAAAAAGATCCAAAAAGTTGCAGTCAGCTTCTGAAATATTTTATTCAAATGTTTTTTTGTCTAGCACATTTCACATGTCAAAAATATTTTATCTGAGAAAATATTCTGTCGTTAAATATTTCATCCGACAGTATCTTTGTCAAAATATAGTCAAATTGAATATCATCAAAAAGCTTTTGATGCGACTTTGACATAGAGATATTTTTTGGTAGCTAACAAATAATTTAGAAGTTGAAGATTGTCGTGAAAGTAATTGCCACGAAAACAAGCATGTCTACTTTTGAAACAACCTTGACGTTGATCATGGTCAGTCACGATCAAAAGATGGCGACGATTGGCGGAATATTGTATCCAAGATGATGAGATCTAGGTCTAGGAGTATGATCCATGCAATGAAAAGATCTACGTGTAGATCCATTGAGAAAAAGATGATGGTTTGTTAGGGATGTGGCAAGAGTGGACACATCAAGAAAGATTATATTTTAAAGGTCAAAGACGTAGTTCTCATTCCATTGTTGATTGTCTCAAATCTTGATAGAAAAAATGTTAGATTTCAGACAACAAGATCTAGATATATGACTCCTGAGAGAAAGAGATTCTAGTATAGGGGCGACAAAAGAAGATCCCAATCTAGCCTTAGTTACTTTGAGAGGAAGACGGTAACTTGTTGGAGATGTGGCAAGAGTGATCACAAATAATGACTGCAGTGTAAATGTTAAAAACATTGTTCAACCTTCATTGATGAATGATGCAGAGTACTTCAACATCAAGGAGCTCCCTGATGTTGAAGTACTCTACATCATTCATCAATGATGAGCTTCATCATTCATGCATCATTCATCAATGATCTTCTAGATGACAATGTATGATGCCAACAGAGTTATCGACTATAAGATTTACTAGACTGTCAGGTTTTTGTCAATAAGGATGTTTCTTTCAATGAACCTAGATCATTGAAAGAAAGTTTCCAAGTTCTTTGTACTCACAAGGAAAAATCTCGAATATGATTGTGGAGGAGTTTGATCATTATGTGATCAATGATCAAGAAACAGCACAGGTACAGGTGAAGTTTCTGAGCACATGAATGAATTAGTCAATATTGAGGATAAATTTAATCTGATTGAGGCGTTAACCAAAATTATTTTTAAAAAGAGTTTCAGACAACATTGCGCTACTATGCAGGTTATTCATAAAGAGCACAGGTAGAGTTTGCTAGCATAGTATCTTCAATTATCTCTTTATATAAATACTTTATCATGTGATAACTACGACTAAGTTAATAATTAACTCTCGTGTAAAAAAAAACCTTGTATTGGGTTTTTTTTTATTTTCCAAGTAATAATTATATAGGTTATGATATTTTTATTTTCTCTATGCTAGCAGGTATTTAAATATCTCTCTTTGTCATTGCTCTATCTTGTTATGGATACAATTCAAAAATTAGTCAATTCTTGTTCAAAGAGAATCCTTGTGTTATGATTCTGTTAGAACTTTCTATGGAGTAACAATACAGATGATAGAGGTAATTGTTTCTTTAACACGAGTTAAGAGGAAGATTGTTAAGGTTAATTTGCATTGAAGATTAAACTCATGTTCTATGTGAAAATAGTTAGTAGTATAGCCGGTGATGTGATATTTAATCTTAGTATTTGTGTATGACACAAGACATACACAAGACACCCTTTTTTTTTGGGACGTAGCCTTTTGTGGTGAATCATATTTCATTGATGTTTTGACTTATTGTGTTTATTGTTTGTGATTCTTGGTTCATTTTCAAAGCTAACATTTATCAATAGATTTCCGTATTTAGAAATTCCTCATTGCAAGTGAAAGGAAATAACAAAATGAGCAACTTTAAATTTAAAAAAGTTTATTTGATCCAAAACATCAAGAAAATATACTTTCAAAACAAAAACAGTTTAATTTTTTTTTATAGAGAATTAAAAGGTATGGAAGTTTGAATCACAACTTGCAAAAGTTTGAAAGACAATAGTCAATAAGTGTAAGAGCCAAAAGAATGAATCTTGTTAAACATTATTTTTTTTTTGTTAAATAGATAGTTGATGATTTTTGAAGACATGAGATGATCAGATAGCATAGAGAGGATGCGAGAAATGTCAAACACGAGACTCATTGGGAGGAGTGAAATTGTTCCGAGAAGACAAATGACTACTTTCAAAACCATGAATTGGCAAAACAACTAGCAGTAGAGGTACAATCATAGAGAGAGAGCTTTGATTCAATGATAAAAAAGTTTGACGAGAGTATATCATAAAAGTATGTTGAGAGCATAAAGAAAAATGGATTGGAAAGATGGATTAAAATCTTGATCCAAAGTAAAAAGTAAAAAGTACATTGGAAAAGACATTTGGAATAATTATGAGAGCATCATGAGATTTTTGGAAAATTTTGGGAGGCAACAAAAAAATTCCATTGTATCGGTCTCAAATGTGAAGTGAATTGGTTAAGTATTGAGGAAAAATTGACCGTCTAAAAAATTAAAGATCTGACTCAAAGTTGCAAATCAAGTTAACACTCGGATTTTGGACAATTATGAAATTTCACGAGATTCACGATATGATTATTATACCATAAGAAAACTAACAACATGATTTTTGTGCTAATTCATATTTGAAATCAATTGATGAATGTTTGAGGAAGTTTTGATTGATTAAAAAGATTGAAATCTGATTCTAAGTTGAGAGTCAAGTCCTCTATCTGAAAAACGTTTTGGGCTTTAACGATAGTGTTAAAAAGTTTTTTTAAAATTAATTCCAACCAAAACAAAGTGCATATTCTACTAGACTTAATTTTTGATGTTTTCATGTTCTCACTTATCTAATATGAGAAACTAGCATAATTGGTAATCTTGAAGAACAAAGGATGTTTTTATGCTTCTACAGAATGTTACTCTTGTATATTTCTTTGTGAATAGAGGTTTAAAAGCCAGTGAAATTACAGGAAGTCGTAACATGGGTGGAAAACACAGTCTACAATCAGGGTGTACTTATTAAACCAGGTCTCCAACAAGTCTTTCAAATGAAATTTTGTGGGACTCAATTCTTGAGCGGCCGCTCGACATGAGTGTGGGCCAATGCCGCAAGATGCTCAACATTACATAGCACTAGTAGCGTTTGTCACGTTGAATCTCGGGTTTCTCTGTCGCTTACTTCAGTCTGTATATTACTGCGAAGAGTGAGATCAGTCTCCATTCGGGACGTTCATATTGTGCTGTTCGATGGATCAGTCGATATTACTCATGCAGTGCTTCGTGGAGGGTGTCGAATTTCCAGAGCATCAGTTGGAACATATAGTTCCTGTATTATCGTTTTCTGCTCCTCTTTCCTCCCTGTCTTTTGGACCGTTCCCACGTCCCAAGTAGGATGTGAGAAGGGGCAATGCGTTGTTCAATCTGCGAATAGATCTACAAAGCGCCGACCATGTTAGTGAGGCAAGACAAATACTTTCCGTGCTGTCATACGGTCCTCAGAACACGCTGGACTAAGTCAGCGGACCTCATCATATGATACCCTTGCCAACTCAAGAAACAAAAAGGAAATGAACCAAACTCAAGATCGTTGTTGACGGTCTACACCTTGACTCTCTAGACGTCAAAATACAATCGATTTACAGAAATTTGCAATTGACGATACATAAAAGTGTGAGAACTTACTGCAGATTATAGGGGCCATATACTGAAAGATTCCAGTTGAAGGCCTATTCAGAGTCTCTGAGTAGGCCTCGATTTGTAGTCAAATAGTAGAGTGAAAAACATTACTCTGAAAGATTCAATGAAATGGTGATGTATTCAGGTTCGTTTCACCTCAAGTGACTCGTCATGAAGTGGCAGTTGCGGCAATTCCCCATGCCTTCTGGTGTCATCTTCGAATGCCTCTCGTAAAATTCTAACCCTGTTAGTCAGTACATTGGATTTTTGGGGGTAAGGTTCTACGCTGCTCTTTATAGGTCAACTTTGGAAGAGGACAAGCTTGACTATGATGTGTACTTACTCATGTATCTTTGTTTCGAAGCTCTGCAAGACCCGTTGCTGTTCCTTGAGGAGCCCACCGAGTTTCTCTTCATGATCTGCGGGTTCCGATGGAAACTATCAGACACTTCTTAAGATTACAATATTGGCACCTTAGACACTGAGGCTGAAATTTCCATACTAGGAGCCTTTTGAATGAAGTTGTAGGCTTAGCCTTGACGGGCCAATTGGTTGCTCAGTTGGCTCCATTTGAGAGCTTTTAGCTGCTCGATTGCCATCGAGATCGATAACAAAGTAGTTGAAGTTTACTCAGAAGTAACGGAATCTGCTTCTGAAGAGTAACAATCCCATCCTCCAAAACTCCTTTCTCTTCCGTGAGGTTTTCAAGTTCAGCCTGAAGCCTGACAGTCAAAGAGGATAACATACAGTACAAGTCAAGAACAATGTACAGAGATGACACACATTATATCACTTCGTAGATGAGATGTGCTGCTAAGAATAACCCGAAAACTCGAAGGAAAATTTAGGACGCTGAAGATGAAATAATTGCATGAGCAAGTTATGTCATAAGTCTCATCTGCGTGGAAGTGAACCAAGTGAGTGGGGTATACCGATTTGACACTCAACTACAAGAGTAGATTTTGGATATCGTGGCTGAGCAATCGAACTAGAACATGGACCAAGATCGTTCTTACATAGACTCTGCGCGTACCTCACAATGTCTTCATTGGATCGACTTAGACGTAAAGCATCCTCCAGACCTTCGATTCGTTTCAAAAGCTTTTGGTTATGAACATTCTCTTCATCAACCTCGGACTGTAGTCCTGTAGAAGAGAGTTTTGTCAAAACAGCGGGCTAAGATTTTGTCCCAAGATATCAGCGGAGGAGAGAGCAAGATTCCGAACTCATACTCTTGCTGAGACGCCCATTTGGCTGGTTCTCTTGGGTGTGGGTTTTGCAAAGAAACATATACCTTCATTGCCATTCTGAAGGTCTCGAAGTTTGTTAACCTTGGACCTAGAACGGGCTTCATCCTCAACCTTGACAGCCTCATCCGTTTTTGTTAACGCCGCTACTTGGGCGAGAAGATTGCTCTTGCGCTGAACTAACTTCAGTCCAGTTCCAATTTCAGCTTCCGCCTGTTGATGAAGCTGGAAAAGTTTGCAAGTTTCGATAAATGAATCCCTGAAATCGATGTGCGTCGGATTGCTTGTCAAGAGGTTCGTGTTGTCTTCTTTGCTTTGAAGACAGTTCAAGATCATCTTATGAACGGTTCAGGATAATATAGTATGTGCTCACAACTATATCTTACACATGTTTATGTGAGTGAAATTGAAGACCCTTCATGGAATAAATGGAAAAGTGTCGTTTCCTGCTATCCATCCGAAGTACATATTTCCACATGACCACCAAGATCACAGGCTACATCCTGATAAGCATTTCTTAACAGACCGTAAACTAGTATGGTTTCAACGTCTCTGAACATCAGTTTATGACGAATGTGAGGAAGACCTGTCTTCCTGTATCTTGAGGTACAACTCTTCTTTCCTCTTTCTCGTCAGACTGAGATTTTCTTCGGCTTCTGCTATGCTTTCTTTGCTTGCATCTGCACAGTTGCATGATTCGACCAGAAGTGAAGTCCTAGCCGAAGTTCTTATCTTGATTCTACGTTATGAAGTCTTATGCTCTACTTTAGAAAAGACGGAGAGATAAACTCGAGGAGATAAATGTTTGACGGGGGTCATTTATAAACACAAACAATATATATTGGATCGCTATATTAAGTACACTGGGTCTGGTTAAATCTCCACGAGAGGCCACATGTTAAGATATTTCAAACAGCCCTTTTAAGAGTGCCGCATCGATTCGGTTCGTAACTGCAGTCTTGAGGCATGTGAATAGAATTGTACACGGGCTCTATAGTAGTTCTTTGCACGTGATTTTTCATGGTGCATCCGTCTGACCGGTTGTGAGTAACATGAAATCTCGTTCGTGAACTTTACCGGCTACGGCTTGAAGATCCATGTGTTGGACTTCCTTCTGGATAAGAATTTTCTTCCATTTCGCCCTTTCTTGCGTCGCTCGCTGTTCATTCTCTGAAGCTCGGATGATGTCTCGTTCTATTTGCCTGGTCTTCGTTATTTCCGCTTCTATTTCACCGTGGATCTTGTAACAACGAGGACACAAACAGAGCAGTGAGAATTCCCTATTTAAGAGCAGCTCCTCGAGAGTCATGAATATATTTTTAGTGAAGTATTATCATGGGTTTAGTGTACATAAGTGCAGTGAGAAATTTACAAGTTGAGACTCTTGTGGAAGTAGTTCATTCGACAGTCCTGTAAGTAGACAACGAGCGGACTATATTCAACGAAACAACTTTCTACTCCCTCTAATGTCGGTCATTGGTTGTCAAAGCCGCGATCTCTGCAAGCTCGCGGATGTTGCGAGTAGAATTAAGGCTGAAACAGCAGTTAGCCATGTTCAAGATGTGCATGCATGTTCTTAACAGTCAGCCTTCAGAGAAATTACTCTAAAGCAGTCTTTTCTAAACACGAAAGTCTCGGCCGGGACACGATGGTTAGCTGAGAATGTTGGTCACGGTCATTGCGAATGGCAAGAGCCATTGGTTGGGGAACACAAAGGAAATGCGGTTTCTTTGTGAGAAACACAACTTTACAGGATTAGCACCTCATTCCTAGATCAATGTGCGCCAGTTTGCATAATCTTGGCCAGTTCTGGTCTGTTGTTCCGAATGAGATTCGTGCAATACTCTAACCATGATAAATCGGGTGGCTGGAATCTGGCCTGCTTGGATGTTCCATATACCCTTCTGCGATTCATGCTTGTTATGCTAGGCCCAAACTGTTCTGGTTACTAGCAGTGCTCCACTATAACGCATTCAAAAGTGCCCATCGCCACACGTTCCTTTCCTCCGTGCCTTACCTCGTCAAGTTGGTGTTTAACGTCAGAAATTTGTTGCAGAAGTAATGCAGTGTGAGATGAGGATGTCTGAAGTGCCATATTCTCCCTCTCTCTCGTGAGGGTTAACCTTGAGCGCGACGTTTACAAGAGCCCTTACGCGCGATTGTGGTTGCCTTGTCGCCCCTGTCGGCTTCAACTGCAAGCATCTGAAGCAGCGAGGTGAATGTTTTCTCGTTGCGCCAGAAGTTTGTTTGTGCGGGGGCCGCGGCGGCTTCCATCAATGATTTGAACGAAGGTTTGGTACAATTTGAAACCTTCCATCTCCGCTTCCCGCGCCGCCTCCGCGCACAGGACTCCAATTGGCGCAAACAGACCAGTGACACGGTGGCAGACGGTACAGTCACCCATGCCGACACATGTTTCTCTGGGTTTCTGCATAAATTGCGAACGCGAACGCTGAGGGAAGGAATTGGTGGGGGCCGACGTTCCGATATTCGCTAATCTAACAGCAAGGAACGGAAACACGGAGCCCGTGAATTCCAGGACAGTGACGCGTGATCAAGAACGCTCTCGAGAGCCGAGGCTTCCAGTGCTCTGCGGAACTTCCACAGCTACCACGAATTAAGGCCAGAGAGAGGTTCTGGTGGTTGCGGTTATTGATGGCATTGCATAATTCAAGCTTCCAGTTTTCAGTGACCACGAGAGATGCGTCATTGTAGACAAATGCTGCTCCAACTAGACCTCCTGAGCGGCGCCCGCCCCAGGCCCTGCAGTGAACACACACACTAGAAATCGGAAGGTCGGCAGGTTGTATTGCCAGGTCTGGGGTCCAGAGACGATCAGACAAGTCTAAATGTGAATCGTCTGAGATGTTTGTTGGACCGTCAAATTGAGCGCCAGGAAGGATGCAAGGCAAAGAAGCAATAAAAGGGTCAGGGGGCTGGAAGTAGGACAATCGCTAGAGATGTGCAAGCGAAAGTGATTCCTTTGTTTGTTGCCGGTTTCATAGCACCTGCTCCGGATCTCGATCCATCAGGGGCATGTCGTGACGATACATAGTCGCATCTCGGATGATCATGAGTACCTTTCCGGCCAAGATCGGAGAAAGAAAATCGTGGCGGAGCTCAGCTGCAGCTGACCCCTCCCTGTCCCTGAGCACATGCGCAGGCTCAGCAGGCGGACGGCGTACACTCGGTACCTTCCTTGTGTTGACCACATTAAAAACTCATTTGGCTCCAGCCTGTACTCCGCGAGAACTCATGCACGACGTGGGTCAGGAACATCTTCGAGGATAGACTTTAACTTTCGAAGTTGTTGGATTCGATTGAAGGATGCATGCTTGCATCGATAAGACTTGTCGAGCTTGACAGGTGTGTAGACTAGATAGAATGCAGCGACGCAATCGTACAAAGCAAGAAAATAATCCAAGATATCCACGTCGTTTCTTGCTACCCGGCGACACAACACCTGTAGTTTGTGTCTACACGATTCTACTGGAGCTTCAATCGTAAAGTCAGATGGAGCTGAAGATTGCCTTCAGCCTGAGATGTTTCCTTAACGTTGGAGAGAGAGGCCTGACTACAATTGTGCTCATCAGCACTTATCTCGTGCAGCTGCAGTTTATGATTCACAATGTTGCCGGACACACAACTTTACACATTCGTAACATCTCATCGACCGACTCCCCGCCATCGGCTGACATAATCCTCACGGACCTGTTTCCCAAGACTACTTTTCACAGATCTCTATACGCACTGTGGTCCCCTAATCATGCCGAAGTTTCGAAGGACGAGCTGACTGTGAAGCTTAAGCTCGACTATTTTTCAGGTATGGTGAGCTCACATCAGACTTTTGAAGTCTACCAGCGAAACAGTTGCAATAGGGCCGTGCTTCAAAATCTTGAGTAGGTTTCTTTGAGCTTTGCCGAATGCAGAACTAAGTCTCATGATCAAGTAACGGCTCATTTCAGAACCAAAAAGTGGTAGCCTTCTATCAGCTTTGTGAGGAATGAGTTGGATGTAGTCCAAGACAGAATATGAGGAACTGAGCTACGCAGCTGTCACGCATTTGAGTATCTTTAAGTTCACATACAGGAATGCTGGAACTCAGTGGTCAGTCAAAGATTCTCTGTGTATTCTATGGAGACAAACAATCCTCGAAGGCTAAGATTTTAGCCATACTTGCTTCTGCAATTATTCAGCTCTGTTTACACGCCTACCAAATATACTTTCCTGTTAAGGGTGAGACATATATCAAAGTCTCAGGTAGTGCGCTTGTTTACTTGTCCTTGCAGGTTGCGCGATCAAGTCAATAGAGAAATACTACCATGGCTTTTTTAGCGCTGCCATCAAGCTCCCAGGAAACTACTCTGCGGGAGTAGTCACCACATTTTATGTAAATGTCCATGCAAATTTGGGATCGTCTTTACCAGAAGTTGAATACAAATTTGCATTACACGAACCTCAGACTTGACGCAAGGTCGAAACCTGCGAGCAAAAGCTTTTGAACCATTAAAAAGCTCCTCTTACGAAAGCTGCTTTTGAACTACGTTTTGCCTGATTATGTTCTGAATTCTGTACCTAACTCTCGTTGTTGTCTCCGGTTTCAGATGTCGAACAACGAAGCTTTTCCAAAGAATCACGATGAATTCGACTTCGAATTTCTGGGTACCATACCTGGAGAGCCTTACACCGTTCAGACCAATATCTATGGCAACGGTGGCACCCACATAGGACGAGAACAGAGGTTTCGTTTGTGGTTTGACCCAACCGAAAATTTTCACAACTACAGCTTCCTCTGGACGGCTAACCATACTGTGTACGAACAATCCAATCCAACACACCTGATTCTTGCTGTGATTTGGTGTTTGGGTAATAGTGTCTGATTCAATGGATGTAATTTCAGTTTCTTGGCTATTTGGGTACAGCTCTGCAGATGCGTTTGCGTAGGTGATATAACAAGGCAGGCCGTAAGAACCATTTCATAACAAGCAAAAGTTTCCCAACATCCAGTTGAATATCTGCTGTATCAGCTCTTCGTGCATCTAAGCTGACACTTTGAACATTGCGCAGATTCTTTGTGGACAACATACCGATTTGGGAGTTTCCTAGGCTGGCAAGTATGGGAGCTCAGTACCCATCTAAGCAAATGTCTCTATACGCCACCATATGGGATGCCTCTCGTTGGGCCACAGATGGAGGTCTTTATAAAGTGAACTACGACTACCAGCCTTTCATAGCTACGTACTCAAACATCATACTCAGTGGGTGCCCCAATTTCAATCCTTCAAAGTCACCAGTCGATTCATGTCCACCAATTTACAACGAGCCCATTCCTCCCGGGCTGACCAGGCAGCAGCTACATGCGCTTCATTGGGTGCAGCAAAACCACAGATTTTACTCGTACTGTACTGATCTTAAACGATATCCGGACATAGCAGATATACCCGAGTGTGCAGCAGAAAGAGCACAAAATATGCATGTGGGACATGGGCACTCTCAGATGCATTCCACAGAGCATACAACAACTACAGCCCCTTTTCGTCCTGGAAAAGTTACGAAAATTGAGCCGGCACCAGTAGAAGGTCACTGACGCCTCATATTCTAGATCACGAGCCAAAACAGATTTGGAATCGGGATAACTCAAACAGTCATGCATGCTACGTAGACGACTGCTTCAGTTAAATCTGTTATGCAAGCCTCGCTCACATATTTAGTGCTCGCTTGCAAGGAAAGGATGTTGCAAAAGTCTGGCCAATGACATGTGTGGAGTTGTTCAAGCAATGCCAGACGTTTTAGTTTTTTTCCCAAAAATTAAGCTTTCTCGTGCATATCTGAGGCAACTTAACAGACATAGGGAATTCACTTTCCATTTAAGAACATTAGCATATCATATGCACAGGAAGCACTCATGTAACTACTTCAGTTAAGGCATCTATGGCTACCAAGTTCGACCGTACTGTTGATCACGGTTAACTTTCGGTGACTATTGGAAGGAACTCAGCTTCAGAACGCGAGACAGGTCTTGTAAGTCGGCCATTATGGACCTGCAGGATTGTCTTTTTCCACCCAAAAAATGTGTGAAAGTCCTGTGGCATGAAAAACTTAAACAGGATGATTTAGCTGCTGCCAGAAGATCGCTCCTGGACTGGCTGCTACTTTGAGCAAGCTAAAGTTGCAGTTGGTAGTTCCGGGATTCGTCTCTAGATTGAGCAGAAGATTAGAATAAGCATCCACAAGCATCCAGGATCGTAACTGAAGGTCATGATATGCCTCATCCATTGACAGCTTGATATCAGTGGTCTCATGTACGTATGTCTTTGTTTCTCATTAAAAACCACTCTTCACCGCGAATAATCATGCATGTAGGTTACTCTTCGAAGAAGGATCATTCTAATCTTGTACACATGGATCCGTACTCCTCTATACGACTTCTTCTACCAAAGGGAACGGAAAAGGAGGCCCCACGTGGAACTGGAATGAGTCGATGTTCTCTCGACATATCAGGCGATAAGACCGATAAGAACAAGAATTTGATTATGGCTGGCAAGTGGCGTATGTTAAGACTGTCCATTCAATATCTATATTTGAGTGAACTTTCAACCGGGCAAAGGATGAGGGAACGATTGGCACTCCCCCGTACGTATCATGGAGATGGGTGCTTGTTTCACAAGTAACTACGCTGTTGTGCAGGTGACTCTGAAATTGACGTCGTAAGTTTCTGATCTTCAAGTTGGGAGACCGATTTCCGAAAAAAATCTCAGTTTATTGATGGCACTGCTTGGTATTGAGTCGCCGAAGTCCTGCCGCATTCGTTCGAATTCATAACTAGCTCAAACTTGTTTCTACCATATAATGACAGGCGTTGCTCATCAGCGGCTACTGGACGATGATGATATGAAGATCAGCTTATGTCACGAACACCAATCGCCATTGGTAGTTTTGTACTGTGTTTGGACTTTTACTTCGATACAATCTTCTGCAAATGATGTAATAAACTCTGAGAGTTTGCTGGACTGGACTGCGGTAATTGCGAGGAAATAGATGTGAGAAGGAGATTTTGTGACAAAAACGCCATTTTTCTAGGCACTTTCCATCGAGCCGGGTCTCGAGTCAAAGGTTTTACAATAACTTGCACGCTTTATCAGACTGCTGTTATCTGTTAGCCACATCGCCATGTGGTTTAGATGTTTGCAGAGAAATTGGTGGGTACATCAAGTTCTAGTATGCAAGATGAACTTCTTGAGAGCACAGTAGCCATGCTCCCCTCGTGCTCGCGCTGCTCCTGCGCTCAGTGAAATCCGGCAGTCTTGAGTGATCAAAGCTTCTCATGCATGCTCGAGCTCCAGATTCGATGAACAAGTGTACTAGAGCTCCGAGGTGTACACAACGGAATCTGAACCGACCGAAACATGAACTAGCTTCGAGGGGTGTCTACATGGTACACGTAGACATGCATCTACGCTACGCCTCGCCTGCCGAGACCGGCAGAAACCCATGTTTGAGAGCGGCCTCCCAAACGAGATCAATGCGATCCACATCAATGCCACCTACTTCGTGGTGCGCCCATCCCTCGAGGCAGTGAACCAATCCACCAGCGTGACAAGCATGAACCACATTCCTCTCGCAGGTTACCTGCAGCACAACGACGCGGTCTCGTCAAACTGCAGAACCGTCCGAAGATGTGAGTCGACCATTGACCGTGTGCCCCGGTGCTTGCCCACGTATGTAGGCTAACTTCCATGCCACGTCAAGCCATGTGCATCTCACCTGTACAGGGCACGAGACTGACTCACTCACTCATCCATCAACAAGCATTGGCCCGTCCAGAACATGATTTCATGACATTCTCGAATTCTCGTATCGAGCATATGGACAACTGTACTACAGTGGGACCGGACCGGGATCAAAGATTTGTGCCAGAATTCTCTTGATGACAGGCAGTCAGGATGTAACTTGAAAAACCTTTAGATCCCCTTGATCTGGAAGGGAGTCAACTTTCCTTCCTCATTCTCCACAGAAGCAATTCCATAGTCTGATACGATCATACGAGCCGTTCCTCAATATTCTCTTTGGCGTGGACTTATTAGTAACGGTAGGCTGCAGCGGACCTCGTTGGTCTTTCGTGGGGCTTGTCTTACGTACCTCGCAGCTGTAGAGACCCTTCACATGAGGGGGCATGCGCATGGCTGCCAGCTTCCCGTAAGTGCAGTCCTTGCGAGCGGATGCAACTGGAGGAACCACAAATTGGTGGAAGTGGGTACCCTTGGGTGCCCATCGTTGGTCCCTGCTCCTGGTCCATTTGCCCATGATCCAAGTCTGTCACATCACCGGTCCCTGTAATGTGAGCCTCTTTTCTTCATACATGCGCGACGTTGCGCCATAGCCACTTATCCTTTAATATGCAAATACTTTCAACAGCATCTCTTGAAAAGTGGTGCGTTGTGACCGTGCCATGGTGCTCGGTTGATGATTCCTCACGACGTTAGTACCTCAAGAAAGTTTGTGGGTAGAAAGGCAGCTAATGTACACCAAGAGACTTGCTACTAAACAGACCTTGCAATTTTTGCCGGACCGGTAATCGGTCACAAGGGTAAAATAGTGGCGTAGATGTGTGGGAGCTTCCCGGACTATGGCATCGAATCTCTCTTTTGAGCTCGTCAGCATCTGCTCCAAGTAGAAAATTTCACAACGTCAGGTTTGAAGAGTAAAGCACAGGCATTTATGAGCCCATCAATCTATTGAGCAAGACAGTGTGCTCGATCGAGAACCCACAGAAATCAAAATCCTCCCCTTTCAACCCTGTGGGCTGCACCACACTTTCAGAACAGACACTGGCTCCATGTTCTTCCTTCAGAAACCTGGACACGTTATCTGCCTTGTTTCGCTCCTACAGCCCTGCCGTTGCTCTTACCATGACATTGACACGACGACGGACAAGATACAGAGCGATGGCCCGACCAAGTTTCGATGTGGCACCATTCATGAATACTTCGGTCACACCTTCGGGAAGTCCTTTCAGTATGCAGGCTGCGGTTAAAGTATTCCCGTGGACAACGCGCACTCGCAAGTCCGGATGCTTTTGAACAAACAACGCTCCTCCTCCGTTCAAGGCTTCGTTCTGCATCGAAGACAACTCTCGTTATTAATTATACTTGTTAATGGCCTGCAGGAGTTAGGTCCATTTCTCCTGCATCTTTCCCACAAATATTGATGCATGGTTTGCATGTTTTGAGAGCCGCGGATCCATGTGCGATCTGGACAGGCTTCAAGACAGAGATCAAACGTAGTCCGGTTTGGATCAGCATTTGATTGAGCACCAATGCGATGAAAGTGAACGTAACCTCATGGCGTTGTCTCCCACACTTGTAGTCCAGATCCAAAAGTCATCATCGTTAAGCTAGGAATCCTCGATTCAGCTGTTAACAATATGGCAAAGGCTTGTGACTGCATAATCTGGTATTGTCTTGGAAGAGCATTGATAAACGCTGGAGCTAAAATTTTCTGCAACTGTTCACCGGCCGAGTGACTCAGGCATGCACGTGCAACAAAGTCGATCCTCTAACTGCTCAAGTACGTGTTCAAGTGCAAGGTCGAAGTGGGTGGGTAGTCATGGACGGCAGAAATGAAGTCTACTTGACAGCAGCAGCCTCGACGCAAAGCAGCTTCGTCCCCTGACATTAGCGTATGGTCGCCTCCTTTGCAGCACCAACGGAATTCGTGTATAGAACATGAAGTTACAGAACAATATTCTGGGAAACTAAAATGCTCAGTTCATTCTGTACGACTGGGAGGGTCTCATGTGTCTTGTGGTGGGCCAGTATAGCTATCAAATACAATTTCACGTGATGCACCTGTCGATGGGTCCCAACCAAGTGAGTACATTGTCTAAAGGAGCGCCACTTCGTCGCAGCACGCTACGTTACGGAATTTAGAATCACCAGGTGCTCGGACAAAACCGGCAAATGCTTCACTCCAGGAAACCGACCTTTAAGATGCAAAAACACTATCCAACGAGCAATTTAAAGCTCAAACCTGAGTCAGTGTATCAAACATCTTGTTGTTTTGAGATTTATCTCTCTTTGCACCATGTTGCATCGTTGTCTGGATATCGCTCTGCTGAATACGACCAGTAACTGAGTAAACTGACTTTGACATGAGAAGAGAGGAAAGTTGAGGTTGGCAGACCTTGTTCAAAGCTCCTAAGCTGATCACTTTCACGCCCGTCCTGTCAGCTTCCAGAATGGCGGACTCGATTAATGAGTTAATGTTTTTCATTTCTTGAGGTATGAAGTACTGCACAAGCACAAAGGTCATCTCTTAATTCCGATCGCAACTTCTTCCTATTGAGAGAGTTACGAAGTACCGGTTTACGGCTCTGCTATGACATGGTTTCAGACTTTCATTTTCTGAAGTGAAGACGTGGTGGTGAAGACGAACACACCTGGAATCCGAATCTCGGTACGACCCATGTTTGGCCGACGATGTCATTCAAATAGTACTTGTAAGCGACGAATACCTTTCCCCAAATTGTCATACAAATACATGACAAAATCGGGATGGGCAGCAGGAACCACAGGTACCACTGGGAGGAGTATGGATGCGCAGCAGTATGGCGTAAAACGAACGTGACTTGCAGCGCTGACAACATGTCCACGCAGTGCGGCAAAAATACAAAATCCGGTGCAGTCTCCTGTCGGCCTGGGCACGCATGAAAACAGAAATGTGTTGTGACATGTCAGCATGATAAAAGCAAACTTGTGTCCACTTGGAGAAAGTAGTTTCAAAATACCTCGATCTGTATATGCTTTCTGCTTATAAACAACATGGAAGGATATCAGGACAAAAGGTTTACGCAGAACCTGCAGTAATGCGATCGTAAAGCTCGTCGCTGTTCTTGTTCACCGTGCCGTTCAAGTGGTCGTATAAAGGCATGAAGAGACAAAAGTTGGTCGCTGGCTCGGTATGATGTAGAGAATGGTACCTACAGCGGCGTTCAATGTAATCACCATCAAACTTGAGGATTGATTGGAGTTCTAGATGGTCTAACTGCAAACACACTTCGCAATGTGCATTCTGATCATACCAAATGTCTATTCTTAGAGTTCATTTTGATGGGTTATGCCCCACTCACCGTACATCCAATTTGTTTGGTCACGGATCATGAATTCAGGACGTGTGAATTTTCGACACTTGGCTGCTTCAAGAACAACTCCACAATTGTGACCAGGGTGACGAAATCTATATTGGAACCTAGTATCGTTTCTAGCGATAATTGCATAAGTTCGAAGTGAGGGAACGGTCGAACGGCAAATATATGGAGGACAAAGAATAAATCCAATCCTAAAAAAATTGGTTTTCTGCTCATGCCACGTGGAGCTGGAGAATGTGCATCTATATCGCATCGTCATAGTGGGATTAAAGGTTGACAAGTTGACAACAGCCAAGTTCCGACGTGGCCAAAGCACTTTACGGTTTTCTTTTACGGTCCTGAAATCATGAGCATCGTTTGGAGGAAGGGCAGGAATGGATAAGAAACGTACGAAGGTGTGATCATCGTATATTTCAAAAAGGGAAGAGTGCGGAAGGCCCAAGCTGGAACAATTTCGCAGTTGCAGTGTGCCATATTCTTCAGGAAATCGAAAGTCATCCAGTAAATGTAGATCATACTGATGCTTGCACCTCCTGTGAAGATGGTGCCCAAAAGGGCTATACCCTTGATACCAGCATAGAGAACAAGCTCCAAGAAAGTGCTTACTCCGGCTGCCCAAAAGAGAACACCAATCAGTCGGTCTACTGTCACACATGAGTAACCTCTCATTTTGTCCAAAGTGGGCTATCTAAAATTCCTCCGTCGTCCTACATCAAGTTTCTGATGTCCTAATGTAGCAAACCTTTAGAATTAGATTAATCCTACTTCGAACTTCGGCTTTATATAATAAATTGTAAGGGTTTTTCCAATTGTGCTTCTCTAACTTTCTTGATTTCGGATAGAGCCTACTCTTTCTCTTGGATTGGAGCTCCCTACTTGTTATCAAAGTTATAAACATGTTACTGATTTTCTACATTTCAAACTTGAATATACATACGATCCGACATATGGGACGGAGACTTGAGGTATGAACAATTCAAATAGGACGAAGGCAGTACATGTGTGGAATATAGACTAGTAAATTTTATGTGAAGCATCTAGTCTGGATTCAAAGGCCATACGAGTCTACACTGTTGACACCACTTTAAGGTAACCTGATAGTAGACAAGTAAGAAACTGGTAAAGTAAACGGTGAGCACTTTCAGGATTCCGACTGAGTATATGCGGCTGTTCATGACTTCAGATTCTTGTCACTGGTCTAAGCATGAAAATACAGCTTATGGATATACTACTAGAACTGGCCAAATTCGCCAAACTGGCGGAGAGTGCAATAAGTTACCACGTACCAGTGGCAGGTTCTGTGTACACAGACAGGTGATGGAAGTGATGATAGTTATTGAAGAGAAAGTCCGTGTGCAGAAATCGATGGAGCCAGTAATACACAAACTCTGTAGGACCCGCATGAATGAAAAAAATAGTCACCAGACCTTTGGTATTCCATAGAGGCAGAAAACGAAATCCCGGCATCCAAACATGTACAGCCGTCGCCAGCAGGACTTCGAGTATCATATGATCATCCCTGATATACTCCAACGATTTCCAAGATGTTCCAAGTCAGGTCGGGATGGGAGAGGAACGAACGACGCAGTTTGCATTACGGTACATCTGAAACTCCCAGCAGTTGCTTCGAAAGACTCTGTACATTTATGAGAACTTATATAAAATACTTTGGAAACTTCACATTCAAGTTGAGCGAGAAAACTTACGAATGGAACTCTCGGTCGACTTGCTCAAATGTGACACCACCCTCGTGTATTTGATACTTTTTCACAATACCGTGCATCCGAGAGAAAGTCATCCACAGCTGTGCAAGCAGCAGGCGAAGGAAAGTCACCAAGAGCATGTGCCAGCACCAATTGTCGACATCATTTCCCGCGAAATAGTTGGCGTGGATGGCTTTAATTAAAAATGGTACTAATACAACATACTGCGTTGTCAACGACAGAAAGAAAAACAGACGGATGGTCAATCATACACTGCACTACATAAACAGGACTTGACAGAATAATCTGGAAGGCAGCAAGGAAAGATCAAACAGAGCTTTGTCTGAATTGCATGCCACTTGAGCCGATTTGAAAACATCTTCATCCTCGAGCCAGGATTAGTGTACTGTTTCGAGATAGAGATCGAACCTTATATCCCCGAAGGGTATGCCAAGGACTGGCAGTCAGATACGGTCTTTTAGCAGCCATACTCATCTGTTACTCGAAATGCCAACAGCCTCAGAGTAGGAAAAGCTACCAGAGAAAAGTATGTCCTTCAGTTTCTTCAGCTTACGCAGCGGTACTTTGGGTGTCTCAGGTGCTGGCTGTATGTTCCTGTAAACATGACGAGAAACACGATATTGGCATGTCGATACACACAAACGGTGCATTGGTGCATATCGATTCAAACATACAGATCTCCCCACGAGTCGCTACAGAATCTCCTGAGCAACAAGAATGGGTTTAGATATAAACTCAACAAACGTAGCAAGTTTCGAATTCCAAAATGGGTCCAGCAAGTTTCCTCCGGTACGAATCTGCTAGTTTTTCTAAATGGGGCAGATGTAGAGTATTTTCGAGACGGTCTCACATTTCCAGCAGGCATCAACTTACTACAATCTTGCGTCGTGCTTCTTCAGAATATAGAACGTCTCTATAAGCTGTATCTCAAGTTTGATGTCACAAGGCGTCTACGCGTTTATACGCTTCATTGGTATGATCTGCCACAACTTTGTCAAAAGCTCCAAAAATTTGCATGGCCTGTAAGAAACGAACGAATGAGAAATTCTTCCGTGAGTGGAACTTTGCGAAACTTTCAAGATGTGACTTGATCCAAAATGTGGAAACTGTTTTATTGGATCTTCCAAAATCGACATTAAACTTCCAACACAGCTGGATATGTCATGCGATTTATAAAGTACTCTCTGCATAAGAGCACCTTGACCTGATGCAGATGTATAGAGGTATTACATCTACTGCAGCGAGAACCACTACGACTGTGTAATACGTCTTTTATCAGTATCCAATCCCCCTCGTATCATTCAGGTACGGAGATCTCCACTCAGTGTCCATCACAGAGACTGATGAACATGATGGTCACTATTGCATCCATCCCATAATAGTCAATTGCGTTCTCGGATCCAGTAGACATACACGACCTGTTGTATTTAACAAATGGACTTTAGAGTGTCTGCAAATTCCCGTGAAATGTCTAATGAAAACAGAAATTCGAACGTCAAAAAGTTGAGGTCTGGGATTCATTACCACAGTATCCGAGGCCGGCCTCTTGTGGGCGAAGTAACGGAACCTGCTTTGTAGATTTAAGATCAATCTGAAGGTGCCTGCAAAGTTGAGCTAATTGTCAGACGTAATGCATGTCTGAAGAGCACCTGTCGACGATATGTGGCACGCACGGTCCAGTATTAGTATGCCATCGCAACCCATAGTCCTGAAGTAAGAAAGTGATACGATGCGAGGCCATGTACCAAAGTGATGTCTTCAATCTCAGCTCGACTGCATCTGAGAGAGACTTCCAGCTCAGATGCGACGGCAGGGACGAATAGTTTAATCGATGTAAGAACCTCCAATTCAGCTAGTCAGGCTTGATAGTTTGTACACAGTGCAATTACGGTCGCATATGCGTGGTCGCTGAGGTTGCAGAACCTCAGCGGGATTCTATGCTTGGAGTTTCTCGTTCAGAGTTTTCTGATTTTGGGAGATACTATCCACAGAGAATAGCGCTTGATTCGTGATTTTTCCTCGAGATTCGAACAACTGCAGGATAGGCAGCAAACGAAGTCCGCCTCTCTGTTGTATTCCTGCGAAATGAATCCTGGGATCTAGCTAGGATGTTTGTCTAGCACAACTTTTATGAGAAAACGTACTGCATGTACTAACATAGGCAAGGATACCCAAGGATAGACGCTATAGAAGCTAGCGGTGTCTTGGGGCCTTAAGCCTTGCGATCATGTCTCAGAATCACCTGAGCTCCGTTATATAGGATCTGCTGTGGCCTGGCGGCTAAGGAGACTCGTGTATCTTCGGGTTTCCTGCAAGGTAGTTTGTGGCTTCATTGCTTGGACCCCACCTTCCCACCTTCCCAAATTCTGAATAGCAAGAGCTAATTAATGAACAACTTTGTCTCTCTGGACAACTCTCTGGACAACTCTGCCCTTGTCTCGTGCAGTCGTGCTGCTATCGTGCTTTTGGTTTTTAAAAAGGCGATGTAGCCTGCGCACGGTTTTGTAGACACCGTGCTCCTCTCGAGAATTTTCTCGTGGAGCAGCAATTAATGCACACGAAAGGTAACGTATCCTTGACGTACTCAGTCTGAGAGTCCAATCGCCCAAAGTACCCAAAAACTTACATGTCTCAACCCGATTGCACGAAAATGTCAAACCAGACGTAGACGTACAAGAGTCCTACGTTGCATAATGTCCAAGTCTATGTAAATTCGTAAACTCTACGAGTTCTGGCAAAAACAATACCATGTGAACATTAAGAGCCCATCATTGTCACTCGTATAGTTGTCAAATCACTATACATATATAGAAGTGTACTGTAATAAACATTTGTGTGGCCATTGTTACCGATCCAGTCTAAAAACATCCAAGGATAAAAGATAAATAGTTGAAATTTTTTGTTCGATTAAAGTCATCAAACTAGATAACTTGTTTCATTTTCTCCAATCTATCATCTAATTTACTTTTGAAAGCTTGTTGCATTGATTTTTGAAGCTGGAGAAAAATTCTATATCTTTAACGTATTGCTTCAGTTATTTTAGATAGTGTTTTCAACATTGTTAAATAAATTCAAACCGTTTATGTTGTTAGTTATAAACTATCTAAATAATTATGAAATCAATTATACTCTAAATTTCATTTCTTAATACTAATAAATTGTGAAATCTAAATCTCACCTGTTTAGTTGATCGTTCCACGCTTTTAATTGACTGCAGAGTCACACGTGTTTGATCCTTCCTCCCTGTAGCAATTTGGTGGACTGTCTGAGCCAAGTCCCTTCGATCATCCAAATTCATCAACACGGCCACAACCACCGTCCTAAATTTCTCAGGAAACTGCCAAGCAGAGGAGAGAGGCTCCGTGATCTCTTTACTCGCCTTCACATTTGGACATTACGCCTGCTGAGACCCAACTTCCCAGCTGTGTCAATGGCATCCTGCCTCTAGCTATCCTCTATCACAGCAACTTTCAAACTCAACTTCAAAAACTGCCTTACAATGAGTCCACTTCCAGCTCTAACCATTACCCTCTGGATGTCGCAACGACACTCCTGGTCCTCATAGTAGTTCTGGTGAACAATGGGCTCCGACTGACTTGCCTCGACATTCCGAGGTCAAAAACTCGTCAGTAACCCTTTGGCCATTCTTCCCCGCACTACATGTGATTACGTTAAGTCACTTACATGCGGCAACATTGACTCTTCTACTTCAATTGCTCTTGGCTTATGAACAATTCTAAAATATATGGTGTAAAGCAGAGTCCTGTATAGAGCTTCAAAACTTTACCCATGACCAGGCCTCTCTAAATACGGACAATACGGAACTCCAGACTCCTATTGCCGTATTTTGTTTTCACAAAGTTCTTTATTTCCAAAAAAAAATCTTTGTTATCTATGTGGCTTCTAACGGAAATACTCAACTAAAATTTTGCGGTGACGGTTTTCGACAATTTATTTGTTGATCTCGGTGGTTTTACTGGGGAAACTAACGGAAATACTCAACTAAAATTTTGCGGTGACGGTTTTCGACAATTTATTTGTTGATCTCGGTGGCTTGACTGGAGAAACTAACGGAAATACTCAACTAAAATTTTGCGGTGACGGTTTTCGACAATTTATTTGTTGATCTCGGTGGCTTGACTGGAGAAACTAACGGAAATACTCAACTAAAATTTTGCGGTGACGGTTTTCGACAATTTATTTGTTGATCTCGGTGGCTTGACCGGAGAAACTAACGGAAATACTCAACTAAAACTTTGTGGTGACCGTTTGTGACAATTTATTTGTTGATCTCGATAGCTTTACCAGAGAAACTAAGGGAGTTACTCAACTAAAACTTTCCGATGACACCTTATGAATTCAACCAGTCAAGGTCTAGTATTTTGTCTCTACTAATTTTTAGTTTTGAAAACACAAGAAATTATTCAACTAATTTTAAAATATCAAGAACGTCTCAAACTTTCTTGGGAATAAAAAGACATAGATTAAACAATGAAAAAACACAAACCTTTTTTGGTTTTTGTGAAAAAAACCAAAAAAAGAACATGACGAAGTCGATGTTCTCGGTTAACAAAAATCTGTTGACTGAACAATGTGATTCCAAGTATTAATAATAGATTTCTTCAACTCATGCAGTTTTTTGAAGTATTAGTTTGACATTTTCGAACACTACAAGAGTGCGGAGAGTGATTTCTCAATGTTGAAATGGGAAAAGTCTATTCACAACTATAAAAAACACCCATCTCTCTCGAAGATACATTACATTGCAGTTAAATTCGGCCGAAAACATGAGATTTCTATCAAGTTCCGTATATTCCGTATTTTGATTTGAGAATTATCCTTATTTTGTTGAGATACAGAACATACAGAATCCACCCTATATAAAGAGGCTGCACATATCTATGAGTGGGTCAACTGTATCCACCCATGGCAACTTTTCTATACCCATTGCCCACGAGTCCATCGTCCATACCCATGAATCTTCATATTAAATTTCACTTCAAGCCCGAAATTGTCTTCAACCAACAATATGATAAAAGCATGATCAGGTGATAGACTCACGTTCAGTGCATAATGTCACTATATGCAAGTGAGCTCTTCAAACATATGACATGGCCATTACCCAAACAAAATGTCTCATGATTTTTGTGTGGAGTATTCTAATTGACTCCATTTGTCGGCCCGTATCTTTACGGGTCCACAAATGGGATCAGTAAGATTTTTTTCTGGAAATGTACATCATGTACCTATACCCATGGGTATCCAATAACGACCCATTCCTTGTACCCACCCATGCCTAGTCTATACCCATTACCCATTCATTTACCGGTGGGTATTGGATACCCATGGGTATGGGTGCCAATTGTAGTACTCTTGTGTAAAGTATCCATGAGAAACCAATTTCGCTATCTTTGAGCTTCAAATATATTATTACAAAATCACCTCACGTAAATGAAGGTTATCTCTTGGAAATGTAAGTGTTTTATCCAATTTCAAATTCCGGGTAGCTAGTGTAAATTGTAGAAACCTTGTACTTCGATTCGGAAACCACTGGTGAATAATTAGAAGTTACTCAAATATGCAGATTTGATCACAGTTTTGAAAATAATAACAAGATTTTGCAATACTTTGTAGAAATTATTCTATATATCTTGCAGTATTTTTAGTACCAAATATGATAATATTGCAGTATGTCAAGCACATCAACCAAAGTTATGTAATCTCATTTTTCATACAGAAGGTGGAACGCTGTCATATTGCACAATGATCAGTAAAAAGCTGGTGCGATTCTGGACACTTGGAGATGTTATAGTTTCATTTTCTATAATCTCCTGGACCGCTGCTTGTGAAGTTAGGGAAACCTCCAATGTATGACACATCCATTTTGATCACTCAATGTATGTTCATCAACTTCAATTACTTGGAAAAAGTCGAAGACAATACTACATTGAAAGTAAGATATGAAACGAAATTTTCATTTTGATTTATCAGATTAATTTTGATGACGTATCCAGCATGTGTAAATTTCATAATGAATCTGCTGAGACTGAAGACTGAGAATTGATGAAGCTCTTAATATATTATGAAAAAAGTCAAATAGTGCAATATATATGCAGATGTATTACTAGTGATTACATTTTGGAAATAGTATCAGATTTTATGGACAAAAAATAGAAAAGTGCCAAGTTCACATAAGTTTTAAGTTGAGATTCACTTTGTCATAAGTTGAGTTTTCCATCACATTGCTGTAAAGTAATTTCATGTGTCTCCAATTCACATCCATTTTGTGATAAGAAAATAAGGGCTTAGGAGATACATATGTCAATTTCAGTTGCATATATATATCCATTGTAGTAGTAGTAAGCATCAATTAGAAACATTCATGAATGAACATTCCAAATAAAGCGGTCAAGTCAGACCTCAAAAAACTCTCTTAGTTGTTGATGTACCTAAGAAATGGTAGTCATAAACCTTTTAGTTCCTGACTAGGTTAGTATAGGACTCCGGTGTCGCCGATTTACGTCCGTGACTGTACTCTAACACTCAGTCATGAACTTCGAAGTATCTTGTCAAGAACCGAGTTCCGAGTTCCGAGTTCCGAGCTCGATCCACACCCCATCATGCATATGCAATGGAACTTAAAAGGTTTAAAGGTATGGAATAATTAACAAACAATCGAATCAATCTATTGAAAACTTGCCACACACTTATCTTTGTACCAAATTGGCGTTCAGCGGACCTGGTTTGGGACTGAAGCTGGGAATCTACAGTTTGGCAGCAGGATCCTACAGGTTCGTGCTGTTGAAGTCGTTGTACGTGGGGACGTTTCTATACTGCGGATGGAGTTTCTGATCCAGTATTCCTAGAATTCCCCTTCTCGGAGAAGAAGATAGTGAAGCCAAATTCCAACACTTGGGTTGAATGTTAAACTTCTTGTGCGTGCTCCGATGTATAATGTGATTCTTATTGGGCTGAAAGTTACAGGAACACGATGCAGGTCCAGAAAGTTTCCAACTGAGCGTGGATGCTAAGAACTCCGTCTACAGCAGCAAGAGTCCCCCAGTTGGTCGAGATTTGAAACTAAGGTATGGTTGGCTCACAAGAAAGTGTGGGGTGACAACTCCAAGCCAATGCTTTTTCACATGATGTTTGAATTGCATCGACCGCCCCACGGATCGCATGTATTCTTGACATCCCACTCGCTGGTTCTCTGTACTAGTACTGGTGGATCTTTCCACGAGTATTGACAGAATGATTGTTGCATGCATGGATGTAATTTCAGTAATCTTTTGAAGCCTCAAGGTCAAATGTGGCCGAGAGTCTCTGCAATCCTTGATGTCCTCGATCTCTGCAAGAGTTACAAAAGGTTGAGTACGGGGAAGGAAATCTAACTTCTTGATCAATAAGCCCGTGCGTGGTGATGATATGATACTTCCAGTTTGCTGTTTCTGTTTTCATGCAACGATTCTAAGCGTTACGAGTGCGTACTTTGAACGCAATCGAGTAAATGAAACGCATGAGCGCGAAACCTGCCTGTATGTCTCCGTTGTGGGATGCCTCATTGCATACGTACGATGATCTAGTCTGCTTTCAGACAGCATTGATGACATTGTCTGATGTTTTTGTGTATAGTTCGAATGAAAACGCTAGGGGCTGGGAAAATACCCTCTCACTTTACAATGATTGGTCTCGTCGTAGGCAACTCTAGCTTGCTGACAGCAAACATTGCCAGATGAAACGGGGCTGAACTACTTACTGTGCTGTATGTATTGAGAGTAGTCTCATCAATCGATGCTACACCTTAGACAAGCATAAAACTGATCGCTGGATCGAGAGTCTCCAGAAGAGAACGGCTGACAAGTCTCACTTTTCTAAATTTGATTGTTGGAGACGACAACCTCTGCATTTCGACCGAGTCAGCCTTGGCAGCATAGCACGTTCAATCTTACGAAGTCAGATTTGAAATGTCCACTTTGCATCTCTACTTGGCACTCTGGCATCTCCGTGGGTCCATGCACAACTGGAAGCTGGTCTCGTAATCCAAATCGCCGACAATTCTCCTTTCACCTTCAAGGTGCTAAAATTGCACAGCTGATAGAAGATTCAAACCAATGAGCATTCCTAGTCCCCGCATCCTGTGTTGGAATCTTTCAAATGTTTTCAATCGCATAGAACTTTACTAGTCTGTTAAGATCTTTCAAATCTGTTCAAGTTCTGGACGAATCACGAAACTCAGAAAATATGTAATAAACACTGGCTGAAGTCAGAACGATTCTCCTTCCTGTCAGTCCTCAACAAAGCCCGGCTTCTTCTATGGCTGTCATAGCCGACCTTGTACCGTCCTCAACGACACAACAAGGGCATAGTCATGACATTTAGATTCCAGAGTAAATTAGTACATAGTCTTATTTGGTCATTCCTCCTATATTTCGAGTTATGGACGATGTAGTAAACTAAATTAGGCTAAATTAAATTTTTAGAAATTAAATTGGTCTAAATTATCTGTTTAGTAGACTAAATTAACCAAAATGAACTTTGTATAGAGACTAAATTCGACTAAATTGATTTTTTTAATAGACTAAAGTAATTTCCGAGTAGACTAAATTATATCCATGCCTGCATATTTTACATCGTATCTAGAATTTTATGTATCTAGAATTTTATCTATCCTCTAAAGGAATTTCAATCACCACAACATGTTCAAGTGTGTAAGCATACAAATTTGAATCAATTGTTTATTTAACTTCAATATTAAACCAACATGCATATAGAGACAATGCTATCATTATCTTCAGTTTATAAAAAAATGTATTCAGCATGCATGCGCTCTCCCACACTCGGTACTAGCAAGGACTATGTATCCCTATATATTGCATGTGTGATTGATGCCATCGGGGCCAATACCACCTAGTTTCAATTTCCTAGTCACTCATGCGTAGGCAAATCTATTGCTGAGCCGAAATCGTACCACGCGAAACAGTGATACGTCTGAAATGCATCGATTTTCAAGAAAGGAGATGAGCATTCGGACAAAATAAAAACAGCATGTCGATATCGCAGTTGTCGCAGCCTCCAGCTGGCATGAACGCTCTCCAGGCTGAAAGGACTGGACAACGACACGCCTCTTCTATTTGCCCTTCGACTCGCCTATAGGAAGCGCGCCCTTTGATGTCTTTCACACCTGGAATGTCTTTCACTCGGACGAGCTCGAAGGCGGACAATACCGCCGAGGCCGACGCGTCGAGGTCGTGCCATGTGATTCTCTCGATGCCATGTGATTGAATCGTGGTCGATCCCATACTCGCTCATTCCAAGACCCTGTACTGGTCCATTTGTCGGTATAAGGGTCGGTTGATCAGATCGAGTGATTGCCTGATGGATGGGGCGGTTTCACTCTGGTTTAGGCCTATGTGACTTTGTTGGAGATGGATTTCATGAACGGAGGCGGTCTTTGCTGCTCAGGGGTGAGGCAGCAAGCCGAAAACGACATGTTGATGGAGGCGAGAGAAGAATACAACGACTCCAACGATGAAGAAGAAGAAGAAGAAGAAGAAGAGTCCGCGTCGGTTGTTCTTCATGACTGCGCACCCCACTGCCGTTCTGCTCCAGAGCAATGTGCTCCTCGTCCTCCGCCTCCTCGGCCTCACATTGCAGCCAGCGTTCGGTGTCATACCCATCACCACCACCACGGCCGCCCCAGTTCTCCATTGACGAATCATTGCCAAACGTCAAGATCTCCTGCAGGGACATGTAACCTAAGGTGGGATGTCGCTCTTCTTCGGGCACTGCGGAGAGAACCGCTTTCATATCCAGACAAAAGACAATCCTGTAGCAAGAGAAGGCAGCCAGGAAGAGTGGACATATCTTTCATACCCAAAAAAGGCGATCTTATTATCCATCACGACAGTTCGCAGTGGCGAAGAGTTTTGGAATTCTACGACCCTATTTCTCAGCGCCTGCAGGATGGGGATATTTTGATCCGGGTCAGACTCGACTCGTTTTCTTGTGTTGGTATTGTGTTGATGAAAGGGACTGGCTACATGTATCATCGCGGCCACTGGATGTTTTTGGGCACAGATACGGATCAAATAAGTCAATATTTTCGAGGGCATTAATATCATAAGGAGGACGGTTTGGCAGCATTTTGTTTGCCAGCATATTTGTATTGCTCGACGCTGCAAACTATCCATTAAGTCTGTAAGCCACAAAAGTTCTCTTCTTGTCAGCTGTATTCGTTCAGTTGATAAGGATCCCCTCCCCTTCAAAGATTGATTGAAGATTTTGATACTCAATTTACAGAGCAACAAGAACAAATGGAAAGAAACATTTCATTAAAAAAGGTTGCTAGCGCACATTCTTCACATTTCTGTGCTGAATCAACTTAAACTACTGTCCTCCTAGTTCTAACGACCTAAGTATCACTCAAGAGCTGCAGGGCAGTTTTCATCCCCAACCCATAGTTGAAGGATCAGAGATGTGAATTCGCGTTTCTAGGTTGAGGGGACATTTTCACCCTGTCCATGACCGCCAGGCCTTGGACGACTTTTTGATCATGTAATGAAATGCGTTTATACCTCCGGCAGCAAAAAGCCCCGAGACGGATTGCCTTAAGCTAGAAGTCCTGACAATACGGCCAATTGCTCTGTGCACAAGTTTCGCATGCCCTTCCTTTGACTGTGCAACAGCCTCTGCTATCGACTTTTCTGCATGACAAGACCCACGAAAGTTACGTTAACAAATTCTTGCATGACTGAAACAAGTTGCATCACTGCAAGGAGCGAGATCGATCGTTCAACTCAAAGGTTAGTGCAGTAGACCAGTCATTTTTACCAGACTGCTGACCATCGAGAATAACTCCGGTCTGAGCACCCAGTCGAGCCAATACAGATTTTGGTAGTCCAGCGACCAGGGTCGTTATTCTTGAAGTATCGCAAACCTGAGATGCACCATTAGCGATGACTCATTTTCAGACGTGAAGGAGAAAGATGATCAAATAGTGCATGGGGAACAAATAGCGACCACAAAACTCAGTGAAGCTAAATTGTTGGGAACAGAGGATAGAACGTCTAGCAAGGCTCTTTGTACTTTTCTTCAAATTGCACATCGCAAAGCAAAAATATTTGAGTACATCGTAGCTCGTCGTATGCTTCATCAAAGTAGATAGAGGTCACAGATTTCTGCTCTGAAGTGTACCTGGGACAGTTTGGCACGGGGATTGGTGCCGAATGACTCGGGTATGTCTAAAAGCCCAGATTCTGCAGCCCTCAATATTGGACCCCGATAAAGATCTCGAAATTTGTCAGCGCTGCCTCTAACTATTTTCTGTACCTGTACAAAGGCCAGATGATTGATGAGGAGTGTATCTAGATAAAAACGGGAGACTGAATGACTGGCTTAGTCCTGACACGGCGAATCACGAATCTAAACATCACAAATATGACACGCTTGACAAGGTGATTGTGGAATATGTCACCTTCCTTCTGTCCTCGGCGAAAAACATCCTGATATCACCGAGATAAGAGAGTCCGCATATATTGATGTACAACTCCTCCTGAACAATCCAACTCATGGGAAAAAGGTTTTTATTCCAATTGTAGAGCTTAATCGCATGTAGGTGGCAACTACAGATCCATAACGGCGAGCCGCGCCCCAGTAGTCGTGTGTTTAGGGCGCCGAAAAAGTGCCCGGCGAAAGGATCCATCATTTCTGCTGCTACACAAGATGCATCTAGTCTTCGGCCCACCTTGACTTTATTTACATCCAATTACTTCAATGACTTCAACGATAAGCTTACGATGGTGACAAAAAGAGAAAGGCATAAGTCACAAAAGAGCAAAGAGTAGAACCCCTTCGAAGACGCTTCATCTCTCTGACCGACAGTCTACAAAGATATACTTTCGTGTAGATTACAGCAGCAGTGGAGAACTCGGAGCCAGAGGTACCTCAGTAAGCTCCGGAGGTGCCAGTAACATGGCGGCATAAAGGGCTGCTTTCAAATTTCTTAAGTTCAAAGTCTTCACCTCATCTTTGTCGACCAGAATAGATATCTGCATCAGAAGAATCAATATTCACATCAGGACATTACGAAATGATCACGAATTCGCACCCACATTTGACTATAAATGCAACCGAAAACATTGTAGGTACATTGAAGGTATCTTTGACGACAACCATGTAAACTTTCAGTGACTATCTCAACAAAATACATAGAACCTGAAGACTTCGAGCAATACATGAACCAATGGCATTCCATACTGGCTTCTGAAGACGCCCACTTATATAAAGGGCCTTCCAAGTGACAATATCTTCTTTTAGTTTGTCCATCCCGATGACACCATACTTTATGGTCTGGAAGGCATTACAGTGAAGACATGTCAGACAAAATTTATACTTGTCAAGTAATGCCATTACTTACTCAGAAACACGCATGACCAAAAGAGAACACTTTCCCACTGCAGAACCAACCTTTATCAGCTGAAGGATGTTAACAAATGAAATAATCTGAGGGTGCACATGCCCAATAGCTATGACATCGGATCCAGATCCCAAGATACAGACTATGACAACTGTAATACGAGCATTGCGTTCGGCATTGTGCTCGCATGCTGCTTGTATTACATTAGACCTCTTGTCTCAAGCAGCACATTATGGCAAGAGCACGAGGAACGGGCGTGAAAAGAGTGGAAGAAACGCACCTTTTCCTTCCATGGTACAAACGGATTGAAGTGGACTCCGACACCTACATTATCGGCAAAACCAGAAACCTGATAGAGACAACCTTGATCTTCAGAAACCTCACAATACAAGAATGTGAATATGGGCAAAAACATAGATAAAGGGATCCGATAAACACAAGCAACTGAAGAGCCGTGTCAGCCATCTACATGAAAAAATCTTCTGTACATGACGTCCTCTTCAGCCTCAAAGCAAGCAATGTGAATTTGACTGACAAAAGAAAATTGGATGTCAAAATTTAGGAAAACCTGGCTAGCTTGATATTGACTTTGCCACGACTTCAAGCAGATGTGATAAACCAGTCGTACATTAAACGGATGCTCGTCAACACAAATTCCAGATCTATGCCTCTATCTTAGGCGGAGCAATCTCGTGAAAAAAGAGATCAGCCAAGATATGGATTTCATACCAAATTCCCTCCAAATTTAGCAAGCCAGGAAGAATAATGATGTGGATTCTTCTCAATGTTCTGCAATGAAACGAGCAACAAATCTTATGGTGAGAACCGATTAGCATTTAGAAAGAAGCTACAAATACTGGAGTGAACCTAGATGACACCAACCAAGTATCCAGCCGGTACTCTATAGTTTGGCATCAGTAGTCACACTTCGGCAATCCACCTAGGAACAGAGTACGTGTAGTTTCTACAAAAATCTGAGCGTAAAGATAATCTTCCTTGTCAATCCATACGATGTAAAGACTTGCCCCAAAATAACAAAAATTCACATCGGAATTTACGCGTAGGAGTCAGACTGAAAGGAAACTTTCCAATTCGGACTAGAATGTGAACAGAGCTCCGGTTGGGTAGGGCAGTCCTGAAGAAAGCTGATAGATACCCTGAATGACGAACCTTCGAATGCCAATCGCTGGGAGAAGAGACTCCCAGTATATAGTCGACCATTGGCTTCTGCACAACCGGTGCACAGCTCTCTGAGGTTCCAGAAAATGACAACTTAAAATTCGTTAAGGACATTTCAAGTGCAAATCCTTGAAACAACTTCAGTCACTCGTGGCCGGAAAACCTAAGTTTCTAGAATTCAGTGATTTTGCGAACACATCGCAATTATGACCTCGCTCATCGCCTGAACGCCCGGTTGAGGGAACACTCCAGAGCCGTAAGAGAAGGCAAATTCTACAGGTGGAAGTGCGCCGAGAGGCTCAGCCAACTCATCTCGATGGAGTGCCATCAAAGCATGAATCGTGAAAGAATCGCGAGTTCCTCTGTTTTCAAAATTCACGTCTCCAGCTGGTTAATCAACTCCAGAGATTCAATCCACGCCATAGGTCAATTCAAGTTCAGACAATTTCCATTCGAGCCTCAGCACAAGGTGCCACCAGAAGCGGGTGAGTGCATGATTAAGGATCCCTGGCAATTTAGACCCTGCACTTTCTTTAAAACGCAAGAAGCGATCCAGAAGATAATGACTTGACAAAAACACACGTTGACACGCAACTGTTATGTTCAATTTTTTGACTGCCGCACCACACAGTTGCTTACAATAGTAGATTGTTAAATTTGCCCACCCAGAATTCCATGGCTGTTGTAGTCTAACTATCACAACACAATACTGTATTGTCGCGACTGTTGTTTACGTGTTTCATGAAGTGGCCGATCTGAACGTTCTGAGGTTTCACACAGATTCATCATCCCTAGTCAAACTAAGAAACGTGTACACCTGCAAAACAAGGGTGACTATACTTTCATGTAGATTTTTGGCTGCAAAAATTCACAACCATCAATGAGAAATTTCAAGGATATCAACATCATGTCATGTTTACTTTGAAGTGAATAACGTATAACATTGAAGTCTTGTTATTTCTTTATCGTGATGTATCATATGAATTGGATACTAAGAAACGAACTAAGTTATTCATTTTCAGCATGAAATGAGTCGTTGTACAAATGTTCTTGAAAATACTATAAAATAATTGCTATGAAAAGCTGGATTTCCACCATTCAACATTAAATACTGTTTTAACGTTAAATTTCACAAGGTAAGTTCTCATTTACATAAATATTATCAGGTGATTTACTTTAATACACATACCTTTATATAGAATATTTACTTCCTTTACTTCTTAATCCTACACAATTGGAGGTACAATTTTCATTCATATTGAAAACATATTCGATTTTGCATTTCAAAATTATTTATATCTGGAATCAGAACATTTTAGCTCATTTTGTCTAAGTTCATGAATACCTCAGAACTGAATAAATAAAGATACTTTCAATAAGAAGATAACCTCAAGAAAAGACATCAAAGCATTTCCATATTTACCTAAAACGATATTAAGAAGTGTATCCTGCATCTGATGTATTAAGCTAACCATTTTTTTTAACACATAACGGATCTGCAAAATTGAAAATTACTTTTATTCTTAATAGCTTATCTTATAATATTGTCAGAGAAAATATCTTGAACTCTAAATGGTAAATAGGCTGTAAAACACAATACAATACAATCAACTCCAACCTAGAAGAGAACCAAAAGAAACCCCTAAGAAAAGTATGAAGGAAACTAAAGGACATCGTAGTTTAATAATTTTTGAATTTAAAATATGAAATTGAATGAAATATTCATAATTTCCTGTTTTATTACTAAAAATATTTTTTTCAATTACTGAATGTTAATGATAAATAGATGTAATGAAATCTTAAATGAAGTAACATTATTATTTATAGATTTCTTAATCTAAAAATAGTAATGTTACTAATGTTCTTTTTTTTTCTAATGAGTTTTGACATTATCATTAATCTTGCTAGAACTTTTATCAAGATTTTCCACAAAATATGTAATAATTTTTGAAAATAAGATTTTTTGGAAATCAACTCTTGCTTAGAAATATTAATAATTCATTAAAAACACAAACCAAATGTCTAAAGTTCAATCAACAAATAATCTTAAAACATTTTGTTATACAAAAATAATGTGAAAAAGTAAAATTGATAAGTTACGTTTCATTTTCTGCAAAAAATGTTCAAAATTGTCCAAGTTTCGAAATCATGTTTCTTAGCTTCTCTCTTCTCTTAGCTAGTGCAAAGTTTTCAATAGTTGGCTTTAAGCATGATTTATCATTTTTGAACACAAAATATTTTATTTTTTGTGTTAATACTGAATGTATCTTTTTTTTCACTTCAATGATAATACAAAAATAGTTAAACGCTGGTTTGTCTAATTTAAATTTCAGACTAAAAACAAATTATTTTTATTTTAAGGAAACAATATACATATTCTATGTTGGCTTTTATGGAAGCTTTTACCATTTATGGATTAGTTGTAGCTTTAGCACTCCTTTTCGGGTACCTACAGGCCACCTAACGGCCTGTAGGTACCGAGGGTCTAAACACTGGTTAGGTAAACGACCAAAAGTTAGCCTCCTCCGTCCCTCGGGTAGTACAGGAATATTTGCCTGTTGTCCTTCGACTTCGCCTGTCGGTAGAAGAGCAAAGAACAACACAAAAAAGAGATTCATATGCTTTTAAATCAACAATACTTCAGTTCTCATCAATCCTACTTAGTGCATTTGCAGTAACATATTCACATTGGATATATGACAGAATTTTGTGTGCAAATCTACAACTTGAAATGAATGTAAGATCTAGTTGAAGTAATCATATATGGACAAATGCTGACACAACTCATAAGCAAAAATATAATTTCACAGGTGTTTAGACCTGATTAATGCTACTACTCATCTCCATCTAAAAATAACTTTGTGTACTTTCCTGGTCTATCATGACCTCACTTCCATTTTCCTAAAAAATATTTGTAATAACATAGTTCCAGAAAGATGAGTAAGTTGTAGCCTTTTGTGTTGCTAAGAAACTCATGAAGTATGAATTGAGTTCATGAGAAATTGAGTTCATGAAACTCATGAGTACTTACTCAAGGGTTTAATGATGAATTATATATCTTACAGCACTCTAAACTGTGCTGTCAAAAGAGATAAGTAAACGTAACCACTTGTATCCATCATTCAAAAACAAAACATCGAGAAGACACAGTTCAGGACATTATTGACAAAGAGTCTGTTAATTTATGCATAATTTTATAATGTTAATTACAAGACAATTATAAGCTATTACAACTCGGATGTATATCACCATTTGTAATTGAGAATTCTCTTGGATCCTTGGTCAGATCTCTTCACGACTAAATCGTAAAGTTGAATGGCATAACTTGGCATTCAGTAGGTTCTTCGTCTGTTACGCTATCTTATCTACGCTCAAGCTTTCACAAGAACTCTTGCAATTATGAAAAAAGGAAGATTATGATTCCAACAAGCTACTGATTCCAACAACTTCACGCGTCTAAGCCCACTCATCGTTCTATCGACACGTGAATGTATATTTTCCCACCTTGCGATTGCTGGTATAGTGACATGCATCTCCTAGACTAATGCCCAATGTCCTGCCTTGGAAGACTTCGAGTTTCCTAGCCTTCACTACCCGCGGTTTTGTACAATTCTTTCTGACGCTACTTTTTGTCACTGAGAAAATTCATAAAATCTCTAGAGGATTACGACCCGCTCCACATTCCCAGCGCATCACATAGTTTTAAAAATCACTTATGCCTACCCATCTCTCACTTTTTCACACCACCTTCTGTAACACCTCGCAGTCTCCATAGTAAATCGTAACTTTACCTCTCTTGAAGTCAAGCTTTTCTATCTCAAACCGCACAAACGATTTTCTCTGCAGCCTTCGCAAGCTTTCTCAATCTTCGCATTACTCTGGCTGTCCAGTCGCACTATTTTGACTTCGCTCCTTCAGTGTCAAATTGATCATGTTGAGTGTACGCCAGGCCTCATAAAATCTGTCTTTCTATTTTTAGACGCCAACTTTGCCAAAATTCATCTGGACAAATGCCATAATTTAATTATATATGCATGCATGGACCACCCGCTGAATCAATCTCGTCCATAATATTATGCATTTTGCAAAATGTTAAAAAAGAAAAAATATTGCTTGAATATTTATTGTGTATCTTGAATTTTCTGAAATAAACAAAACTCTACATGTATTTAACGTAGTCTAATAGTTAGTTTTCATATATGTATTTTAATCATTTTATGTACACTAATTGTTAATGTTTCTTATGATTTATTGACATAGATTAAAATGCGATTTTCTTACTATTATAAAAAAAATTCCGGACCATAGGTTTCATTCATGTACATGTGTGTTCAATTTTTATTTGTACTCAAGAAAGTTATGGTATAAATGGATAAAGAGTGAAAAAATAAAATAGAAAACCAAAAAATCTTGATGACACGATCTTTTAGGATAGAATTTTTATTAGAATTTGTAATTATTCTATTTGAAAATATTTATTACCTACATAAAAATCATGTGGTTTGATAGTTATGATTAAAACACACTCTAAAGAGAAATTTTAAATGAAAAATAAATATACTGAATTAAAATATAGAACACAAGTGATGTGAAAATAACTGCTGCTAAATTCTTGAATTTTCCATAATTTTTCCTGATTCAGTGGATGGTGGAACTGCATAGCTGTGGGAAATTGAAATTCTAAAATTTTACGATCAACCTATTTTTTAAGTAAAATAATTTTTTCAGTTGTTTTTAGAAAATTATATGTAATGCTTTCCTAATTTCTAATGCAGTGTAGTTTAATTATTTAAAAAATATATTTAAACCGAAAGGCGCTCTCTTCCCGTTAGGGAGGAACATTTCTCGTGGAGTAGTTATTGCATTATGGTGATATAACAAATTCAACAACAATCTAGCAATAATGAACATATTATGTTCTCAATTCTGAGAGAGAGAGAGATTATCTTTAAAAATTGCAGTGTTGCATGAACTAAATGTTTATAAAATCAGTCACACTTGTGTAATAAATTTCAGGAAATGTCGTTATTATACGGATTTCTAATCAATATTACTAGTTATATATAATAGCCAAGAATATAGAAAATGAAAATAGAAGAAAATTTTTGTTATGCCAGAATTACGTCAAATTTACAGAATTAAAATAACTCTGGGCAAATCTGGCATTTACGAGACTTTATGAGGCCTGGTGTACGCAGTACAAACTATCACTCTGAGCATCTCTATTTTTGCATCCTTTCAAGAATTTCACCTTGACATAACTTCGCAACTAAATAAATAATTCAGTTGCGAAGTTTTGTTTAGGGTTTGAAGTTTTAGCCTCATGAAAAAAAATTACTTACTTTTAAAAGTGGGGATGTGATCGCCAGCCAACTGAAGTTTTTCCTTACCACAATAGATTTCCTTACTTTGGACGTACATAATATCATCGTTCAAGCCAAAAACACTCTTTCAGTTTCTTTTAACCTTTGCAATTCTTTGTAACATCCAATCGGATGTCAGATATTAGGGCTTTTACAAGCCAGAAGAAGTGTGTTGATTACAATGAATTTGCTCCGCTAAGCCCAAATATCTCGTAGTTGCATTGCTTGCTTTGTCCACATCCGGCCACGAACAGTATGTTGAGCCTCTAGCTAATAGTTTTTTTGCTTCGTGGTGTTAACCACCAGAAGCTTTAGGTTTTATATGTCAGTATTCAGGAGA